CCATGACTTGACTACTCTATGACTGAAGAAATACTTCCTAACATCCCTTCGATTCATCTGAGTCTTCAACTTCCAATTGTGACCTTTTTGTGTCTGTGTCCCATCTCTGGAACATCCTGTCTTTGTCCACCTTGTCTATTCCGCGCAGTATTTTATATGTCGTTATCATGTCTCCCCTGACCCTCCTGGCCTCCAGTGTCGTCAGGCCGATTTCCCTCAACCTTTCTTCGTAGGACAATCCCCGTAGCTCTGGGACTAGTCTTGTTGCAAACCTTTGCACTTTCTCTAATTTCTTGACGTGCTTGACTAGGTGTGGATTCCAAACTGGTGCTGCATACTCCAGTATGGGCCTGACGTAAATGGTATACAGGTCTTGAACGACTCCTTACTGAGGTATCGGAACGCTATCCGTGGGTTTGCCGGGCGCCCGTATGCTGCAGCAGTTATCTGATTTATGTGCGCCTCAGGAGATATGCTGGGTGTTATACTCACCCCCAGATCTTTTTCCTTGAGTGAGGTTTGCAGTTTTTGGGCCATCTAAACTATATTGTGTCTGCGGTCTTCTTTGCCCTTCCCCAATCTTCATGACTTTGCATTTGGCAGGGTTAAACTCAAGGAGCCAGTTGCTGGACCAGGCTTGCAGCCTGTCCAGGTCTCTTTGTAGTCCTGCCTGATCCTCATCCGTTTTGATTCTTCTCATTAACTTCACATCATCTGCAAACAAGGACACTTCTGAGTCTATCCCTTCCGTTATGTCGTTCACATATACCAAGAACAGCACAGGTCCTAGGACTGACCCCTGTGGAACCCCCGCTTGTCACAAGCGCCCACTCTGACACCTCGTCACGTACCATGACTCGTTGTTGCCTCCCTGTCAGGTATTCTCTGATCCATTGCAGTGCCTTTCCTGTTATGTGTGCCTGATCTTCTATCTTTTTCAGTAACCTCTTGTGAGGAACTGTGTCGAAGGCCTTTTTGCAGTCCAAAAAAATGCAGTCGATCCACCCCTCTCTCTCTTGTCTTACTTCTGTCACCTTGTCATAAAACTCTAGTAGATTTGTTGACACAGGATTTTCCTTCCCTGAAACCATGCTGGTTGCAATTATACACTTGTTTCTTTCCAGGTGCTCCACCACTCTCCTCCTGATGATCTTCTCCATGACCTTGCATACTATACACGTTAGTGATACAGGTCTGTAGTTTAGTGCCTCATGTCTGTCTCCCTTTTTAAAAATTGGGACTACTTTTGGGCCATCTTCCATACCTCGGGGAGTTGCCCAGTTTCAAATGATGTGTTGAAGATCTTTGTTAATGGCACACACAATATCTCTGCTCCCTCTTTAAGGACCCATGGAGAGATGTTGTCTGGTCCCACCGCCTTTGAGGTGTCAAGTTCGCATAGCAGCTTCTTCACTTCCTCCTTGGTTATATGTACCTCATCCAGCACTTGCTGGTGTACCCCCCTGTTCTGATTTCCTGGAGTCCTACGGGTTTCCACTGTAAATACTTCTTTAAAATCTCGTGTTGAGCTCCTGACATACATCTGGGTCGTTGCTTGTGAATTCCCCATCACCCTTCCTCAGTCTGATTACCTGGTCCTTGACTGTTGTTTTCCTCCTGATGTGGCTGTACAACAGCTTCGGGTCAGTCTTGACTTTCGATGCTATGCCCATTTTCATATTGTCGCTGAGCCTCCCTTCTTATCTGTGCATATTCATTTCTGGCTCTTCGGCTAATCTCTTTATTTTCCTGAGTTCTCTGTCTTCTGTACCTTTTTTCCATTCTCTAGTACACCTAGTTTTTGCCTCCCTACACCTTTGGGTGAACCAAGGACTCGTTCTGTTCTTCCCATTATTTCTGTTTCCCTTGGGAACAAACCTCTCCTCTGCCTCCTTGCATTTTGTTGCCACATAGTCCATCATTTCTTGTACTGGTTTTCCTGTCAGTTCCCTCTCCCACTGAATGTTTTGAAGGAAGTTCCTCATGCCTGAGTAGTTCCCCCTTTTGTAGTTTGGTTTTTCCCATCCTATTCCTGCTACTCTCTCCACTTGGAGCTCAACTATGTAGTCGAAGGCACAGAACCACATGATCACTAGCTCCCAGGGCCTTTCATACAAGATATCCTCGATGTCTGAACTACTCAAGGTGAATACAAGGTCCAGTCTTGCTGGTTCATCTTCTCCTCTCTCTCTGGTAGTGTCTCTAACATGTTGATGCATGAGGTTTTCCAGTACTACATCCATCATCTTGCTCTCCATGTTTCGGGAACCCCCATGGGGCTCCAGGTTTTTCCCAGTCAATCTCCTTGTGATTGAAATCACCCATAACTAGTAACTTTGCTCCCCCCACGTGTGCTCTCCTGGCCACCTCGGCTAGTGTGTCGACCATGGCTCTGTTGCTTTCATCGTATCTCTCTTGGTCTCCTGCAGTTCTGTGGTGGGTTGTACATTACTGCAATTATCACCTTATGTTCCCTCAGACTGGATTGTTCCTACTAAGTAGTCCCTTTCACCCGTGCCATCCATTCCTTCCATTTTCTCAAAACCCCACCCGGCTTTTAATGAGCAGTGCAACTCCTCCTCCCCCTCTCCTCCCTCTGTCTTTCCTGAAGATTTGATATCCGGGTGGAAAAATTGAATCTGTTATTATTCTGGTGAGTTTTGTTTCTGTGAGTGCTATTATGTCTGGGGATGTCTCCTTGATTCTTTCGTGCCACTCCTCATACTTATTTGTTATTCCATCTGCATTTGTATACCATACCTTCAACTTCTTTTCTAAGACTGTGGTCTGGGAGGTGTATTGGGGTTGGGAAGTGGGAGACCTGATAAAGAAACTATGGGTGGTTGCTGTGGGGGTGGAGTTTGTAATGTAGTGGGTGGGGGCATTGGAATGGCATGGGTGTTGTGGTTTAGAGTGTTTGGCTGCACTGGGGTTGACCTGGTTGGAGGCTTCTATAGGAAGCTGTGAGGGAGGTTGTATTTGATCTTCCTGTGTCCGGATCTCCTGTCTGTCTTCTCCATCCCCTCTCTTTCCTCCTTTCGCCTTTGTACCATCTCTCTCAGTTTCCGCCTTTCGTCTTGTGTTCTGTCGCGGTCGAGATACACCTTCCTGTATCCCGGCATGTTCCCTTAATCGTGCTTTTTTCCTGCAGTATCCTGTTCCGAGTCGATTCTGCCTTGAAGGTCACTTTCACTGGCCGGTTTCTTTTTTTTACAAACCCCCCTATTCTCCGAAAATTTTCCAGCTGGGTCATGTCGTCTTCTCCGATTACTTTCATGATGCTTTCAATTGCTTTTTTTTTTTCCCCTTGTTTTCTTGCTTCATATGTTTCCCCTTCAACTTCCTGTAGCCCATACACAAAGACTGACCTCACCCTTTCATTCTCCCACTGCATATCCCTGTGTATCCCCTCATTCAATTTGATTTCCTCCATTGCAGCTTTCCTTTCTTCAGTTTCACTAGCTACTGTACATGGGCTCAGTGGCCTGTCATTTTCCCATCTCAGCTTTCCCTGGGCTCTGTTGTGGTCTTTTAGGGCCTCCACATATAGCTTAGCTCTTTCATTTACTACAGTCTCCGATAGAGCTTCTACATGCAGTTTTGCTCCTCCTTTCCCTACAGTCCCCTTATTTGTGGCTGAGGTAGCGGTCTCTGTTGTCAATCCCATAATGTTCTTTAGTTCTTTAGGCTGTTTCAGATTTTCCAGTTCCTCTTCTAAACTCTGTATCCTGGCCTCTGCTGTTTTGACTTTCACCTCCCACTTCCTGCTTTCCATGTCTATCCTCTCTTCCATTCTCATGCTAAGTTCTTCTAGTTTTTTTTTCCCATTCTTGTTTTCCCTTTTGTGAGCTCTGCTGCCCAATCTTCCTTTGCAGTTTCCTCCTCCTGTCCCTTGGGTTTTCTTGTTGCTCTCTGGCAACCCATTTTTGTTTTATCCTGATTGCCTCAGAGTGGGAAACCTATGTAATTCTGTATGTTAGGTTAGTACTGTATATGTCAGAGTGTGGGGGGGGAGGTAGAGGAGGAACTGTGGCTATATAGGAGAGTAGTGGGGAGGGGGAGTGGGAAGGAGAGTGAAGCAAGTGGGTAAGTGGGTGAGGGAGAGGTGGGGAGGGGGAGGGTGAAAGAGGGAGGGGAGGGATCAGGTGAAGGAGTGAGATGTCGGTGGGGAGGGGGGGAGTATATGTGTGTCTGGCAATATGTGTGTGTGTGTGTGTTGTGTGTGTTGTGTGTGTGTTTCGTGTGTGTGTGGGGAGGGTGGGGGGGGTGTGGGTGGGTGTGTGGGTGGGTGGGTGTGTGTGGGTGTGTGTGGGTGTGTGTGGGTGTGTGGGTGGGTGTGTTTGTGTGTGTGTGGGTGTGTGTGGGTGTGTGTGGGGGTGTGGGGTGGTGTGTGGTGGGTGTGGGTGGGTGTGTGTGGTGGGTGTGTGTGTGGGTGGTGTGTGTGGGGGTGTGTGGGTGGGTGTGTGGGTGGGTGTGTGGGTGGGTGTGTGGGTGTGTGGTGGGTGTGTGGGTGTGTGTGTGTGTGTGTGTGTGTGTGTGTGTGTGTTGGTGTGTGTATGTGTGTGTGAAAATTTGGCAATGGATCTCTACTTATGTATCAAAAAACAGCTTATGTACTATTGTTTTCTATATCAAAGTGATCTGAGCAACATTTATGGTTCTCTAATAGAGTTCTACTGAACACTGGAACATTGTGAGCTGTTTACCTCTTTCCCACGGGTACATGGCACTGCCTGTTTACTGTTTATTTTTGCTATTCCTGTGTCCCTCGCAGAGTTGCCTATGAATGTCTGATCTGGTGTCACTGGTCACCTGTGCTCACCCGGTGTTTCTTCCTCACAGAGTTGACTGGGAATATTTGGTGTGGGACCACTGGTAACCTGTGATCAACCCTCCTTTCTCCCCCCCTTCCCCGGTTTCATCCTCACAGAGGTGGCTGGGAATATCTGGTGTGGTACCACTGATCACCCGTGCTCACCCTAAGTTTCTTCCATCCACAGGTGGCTGGGGTTGGCTCATCTGTGCCTGTGTGTTCGTAGTTCACGTGCTTACTACGGGTCTCCAGTTTTCCTACGGTGTTCTTTACACTGACATGCTGAACCATCTGGGTGACGACCGAACTATGGATGCCAGTGAGTACACTACCTAGTATGGACTTGTGTTTCTTCTCTATATTAGTTCTCGTGAAAGAGTAAATATATATGTGAGAGATTTTAACCATCCTATTGATTTTCTGAATCCTATAAAAGTTATATCAAGCTGATCCATTGTCGATAGAAATATAATAAAATCAGGTTTCATAAAAAATAGTTTTGAAAATTATATGAATATTGCTTTTGGATTATACAAATTTGATTCATTTATAATTAATAAAATTTGGGAAGAATTTGAGATACCTAAGACAGGTTAAATTCTTAAAGCTTGGGTAGAATATAAGCGATGTTTTCCCAATCCTTGGCTACCTACTTCATCATTATGATAAAAAGGTCAGGTGTTGTAAGGTGACCACGAGATTTCCTCCTTATATGCTTTCCTATAAATCTTTTTTTTTTTACGCTTCCTTGATAATATGAGAAATCACGAAAGCACTTTTAAGACCTTTCCTGATTATTTCTTTCTCCAACTTCTCTGACCAAAGTTGTCGAATTCGTTTTCATCGCCATGAATGGCTGGGATAACTTCCAAAATCCTCAACGGAAAAACTTCAAACGTTTTAAAATAAGTATAAAAAAATCGACAACAGTGGAGAGTAAAGTCCAAATGTGCAGATGCGAACTTTACAGTTTTATGTGAGAAACAGTGTGAAATATGAATTCACGCTAAATCACGTTAAATAATTTTCAGGGTGGAAATAAATAGTATAAAATACCGACACAATGGAAAAATAAACGCATAAGCAGTATAATCTCTCTTTAAAGCTACCCATGGTCCTAGCGTCTATCACCCTACTCGGATGATTGTCACATGCAGCATTCTCCACCTGACTCCATCCTGTAAATATTCACGTACCTTTCACCCAAGGTAGATCTGTTTGTGACTTGATCAAGTCCACTGTGTGGGCGAAATGTCGTCAATAAAGGATCCCATTATACTGCTTATGCGTTTATTTGTCCAAATAAATTTCAGCTTACTTCTGAACAATTTCAAAATTTATGATTGATGCATCTTAGTGAGGATAGTACCCATTAATTTTCGTTTTCATGCTGGCAACTTTGTTGATATAATAAAGAAAATAAAAAATATATGAAAATATGAGTTATTGGAAACCATGCTATAACTGGAGAATAACTCACCTGATTGGTTTCAAAATTTCACCACTGGAGTGGTTTCTTGTACACGAGACTCACACTACCAATGGATAGTGTAAATCCCAATTTGTCAATGTTATTAAATAAGCAATAATATTTTTTATTCGATTACTATAGAATTCTTTTTCTGATTGTCTTTAAATTATTACCGACGATTCGTTCTATAAGAAATATGACACTATATAAGTTTAGTATGAAAAGGTGCAAGTCTGAAACTTTACTGAAATAGATAAAAACTTAGAATGGTTGGAATCAGAGGAACTGCTCAAGAAAACATATACTGATCGGCTTCAAACCTTAACCCTCGGTGGGTTTTATTAAACACAGTTTTTCAATCACTTTCAGTTGTATTAATCTCATTTTGGATTTCTGATCAACTTCAAGCCCTAAATGCTGGTGTATAATAATAGAAAATACTTTTTGTGAATACCATAAATGGTATATAATACCGACAGGTTGGTAGGTAAGACACATGGTCAACAGTTAGGCAACTTTACTCCGAAACGTTTTGCCTACACAGTAGGCTTCTTCAGTTGAGTACAGAAAGTAGGCAGGAGCAGTAGAGATGTGAAGACGATGTAATCAGTCCATCATCCTTGAAGTCGTATATTTGAGGTTGTCAGTCCCTCAGCCTGGAGAAGAGCTCTGTTCCATAGTCTGAAACAGTCTATTATGTTAGGGAATCTTTATTAAGGAAACGTTTCGCTCTACAGTGGCTTCTTCAGTCCTGTACGAAGCAGAGAGAGGTAAAGGAGAGAAGGAGTTTGAGGTAATCAGTCCCTCAGCCTGGAATCGATGAGTTCAGTCCATCACTCTTGTAGTAAGTACAACATATGGCCGGAGAAGTGGCTTATATACTCCGGTCATATCCTGTACTTTCTACAAGAGTGATGGACTGAACACATCGATTCCAGGCTGAGGGACTGATTACCTCAAACTCCTCCTGTTCTTCACCATTCTCCTTTGTATGGATTGATGAAGCCACTGTGTGGTGAAACGTTTCTTAAAGAAAGATTCCCATATGTTGCAAAAGTGTCTCAATCTTCAACTTGTCGGTTTTCAAAACCATTCATCACAACTGTCAGACACTGCATCATCATGGGATCTTGATACAAAGAATTTTTCAAACTTGTCCAACCTTTGGACGAAGACCTACTTCGACTAGTGGATGGTACCACTATGACCTCGCCTCCGCCTGCTTCGTCTCACCTGTCTACAGTATATAAGCCACGTCTACGGCCCTATGCTGTACATTCCTCCTCTCCTTACACCTTCTGCTTTGTATTGGACTGATGAAGCCACTATGTGGCGAAACGTTTCCTTAATAAAGTTTCCGATATGTTGCATAAGTGTCTCAATCAGACTCACAAGTATAGTCCTTCACGAACATTCTTCCATTTTTTTTCTGGGCTACAATATGATCCCGTCAGGGTGGCTGGTGGGCACATCTAGGGTGCTGGGTAATAAAGACTGAGCTTTTACTGGGCTGGGCACAGCGCTTTATCAAGGCTTCGCTTGATAATATCACTGGCTTCATTGTGTCAAACATGCCAACCTTGGGAACCAAAACAGTTCAGGCCATGCAAATTATTCTGGTAGACTACCGTTTTGTTGCAAATGAATCTGTTCTCAGAGAGCAGAGCCACTGTAATACAAAGGTCTTCTGGTCAAAACGTGCTCAGTCGCAGAGATGGAAACTATCAGAAGAAAGTCACCCGATGTGTTGCGTGTTACGCGCTCATAGAGAAAAGGCTCTCTCTCTCATTAGCAAAGCTTCCCCATAGCCGCAGCAGTTGAAGTTTCAGGAGGTATCGTCGTCTGTTCTGAAAAGGTGTCCCACATGTTGGTGCCACTGGTGTAAATGAGGTCACCCACTCCTGTCATGTGGCATATATGTTCTGGTAGAGGTTCATTCAACAGCTCGCTGAATCCGTTGCCTACCGCAGTGCTCCTCTATGTCGTCCACATAACCCATCTACGTTACATTGCAGGAAACGATGTTATTGAAGCGACAGTGAGGGCAAGAATGGTAGTGACAGCGACAGTGGTGGTAATAAGAGTGACGGCGATAGTAGTAATGATAGCGATAGTGACAGCGACAATGATGGTGATACTGGTGATGACAGCGGCAACGAGGGTGATAATGGTGTTAGCGTCAGTGGCAGTGACAGTAGCGGTGATAGTGATGATGATAATGGTGGTGACAGCAACAGTAATGGTGAAAGCTATAGTGACACCGGCAGTGTCGGCGACATTGACGGTGACAGCGGTGGCCACAGAGACAGTGGCGGCGAATTATTCGGACACAGAAAAACTAAAATGAGATACATGTATTTACAAAATTTCCCATGGATAATGAGGCAGACGTGATATTTTGTAAGAGAACTCCATCTGTTTCAATACGAAACGAACGAACAAAATAGAAGCTACCATAAGGTAAATACATCCTGTCGTAAATTTACGGGAATTGGTTTAATATCTATAGGAATATTTGAAGTCCAAGGAGAAGACGTTAAAGATCCAGGGATAACAGGTTGAAGATCTAGGGGTAAACAAGTTAACGTTCTTTGGGGGGAAAGAGGTTAAAGTTCTATGGGGGAAAACGTTGAAGATCTATGGAGAACAGGTTAAGGATCTAAATTCTAAACCGAACATGTTAACGATGTAGATTCTAAACGAAACAAGTTAAGGATCTAAGGGGAAACAGGGTAGAGATCTAGCAGGAACTGTTTCAAGAGCTGAGTCTGAGAGAGCTTCGTTCAATATGCTCACTGATCATGTTAAGGTGGAAATAGAAAGGCTGTTGGAGAGGCAGGAACTAAAGACGCATATGAGCTGCAGGGATGCGAGGAAATACTTTAGCCTCCGGGGGATCAGAAAGTGCAATAACATTGGATGGAGGAGTGGTAGAGGTAGCCTCCATTCACAGCTTTAAGAAGTATATATGACGATGATAATGAGATCAGGACAAAGTGAACCTAATACTGGCAGTTGAGAAGTAGGACCAGGAGCTATGACCCGATCATCACAGCAACAAGTGGATATGTTTAAGATAAGGCATGAACACAGACGTTAAGCCAGTTTGTGTTGAGGTTTGAGATTTTTTTTTTCTTCAGTCTGATTAGTCTATCGATTATTGGATGATGGTGAAAAATGGTCGACGCACAAGTAGCAGACTGCACGCTCGGGAACAGGAAATAGTAAGGACCTTGGAAGAAAACTGATACTGGAAGTGAGGGTGGAACTTATGACTGATGACACTAGTAGACAGTGAGAGAGAGAGAGAAACAAACATTGAATTCACACTATGGTTGTAGGAGGAGAATGACATCAAGCCAAAAATTAAGAGAACATAAAAAAGAAAGTCTTACTAAGATAAAGAAAGTCAGAGAGAGATATGTAGCAGACAGTGAAACCAGGAAGGATGACAAAGTGAGCACGTGTAGAACTCATCGCTCTTCTCGTACCACAAGAGATAATCACTGCGACTGCAACGTTTTTCTCGACCACCTCGTTAAGAGGCATATGATGGCCGCTTTTTAAAGCGTTTATTTGTGGTTTAATAAATTTTTTATGGTCTTACGAAACCCAGAGTCCTTTAACTTCCTCAAATAGTATTGGTAAAATGAAGATTCAAAAAAAAATATTGGTGTGTTTGAAAAAAGTAAGAAAAGAAGTAAAGATAGTTTATATATATAATATATATATATATATATATATATATATATATTATATATATATATAATATATATATATATATATATATATATATATATATATATTTGTATATATATTGTAATGAAAACAATAAAATGTTCTCATCA